ATATATATATATATATATATATATATATATATATATTCATAAATATCCATAGTTATTTGATAATAAAAAAAATTAGTATATATATTTACATAAAGTCAACATAAAATAAAATTTGCATAAAACAAATTAGATAAAAATCTGCTTAAAACAAGTTGGATAAAAATCTGTATAAAATAAAGCTTGCATAAATAAAAAAGAGCTTGCATAATGAAAATTACATAAAACTCCTTAACACACACATATAGCCTAAATAAAAATTACATAAATTAAGTAATTTAATATTAACGGGTATTTGCAATATGGATATTATAATATCTGTCCTTACCTCATTAATATAGGAATATAGAAGATATTTGTATCCGTTACATGCAAATATTCATTAATAATGTTCATTTTTTTACGTGTATTGAGTACTATTAATTGTGAATATTCACCAGTACAATTTTTTTTTACATTTCTAATTATAATTCAAACTTTCCAAAATTGACTTATTAAGTTAACATTATTATTCTTTATTTGGTTTCTAATAAATGTAACATTTATCAACATTAGTTAACACAAATAGTAATAACTTGTATACTTAACTAAAATGTTTAGAATTCAAATCTTGAACTTGAGTATAAAATAAATTATGTTCAAAAAAAAAATTATCTTAATTAATTGTGCTTACGATCCCCCAAAAAAAACTAATCACGGTATATATTCGGTACCAATATTATTACTAAAAAAGCAATAAATATGACACTCCATGCCAAACATTATTAGACTATTGAGAATGTTTTGGCCATAGTCGTTGTCAAGTTTTCAACAAAGTTTTAAATTTAATTCCTTATATCATGTTCTTCATTTTTACTTTGTTGATGACATTTTTTCAGGCGCAGCTGCTAATCAAACTGTTCCACAAGTAATCATTCTTATATTCAATTCCAATATGAGTGTATTTATTTCATTACAAATGTATATAATTCAAATTAATTTATATCTAATTATGGTCAATTGTATTAATAATAAGTCATATTCATAATAGTATGTTGTCTTTGTTTCACTTTTACCTTTCAAATTGAATGAATATTATCTTGAGATGGGGAAAATTTCTTCCAAATAAGAAGTTAACATTTACATTTTATTATATTAGAGTTGACAAAATGAGTTATTCTTGCGAGTTGATCAATATGAATCATTAGTTAATTACAACGATTGAGATAGAAATGATCGAATTTAATTTGATCTTCTAAATTAATGTTCAAGTTCAACTCTATACGAATTATAGACTTTTGGGTTAGTTTGACATTTTTAACTTTTTTGTTAGTTTTTTATTTTCTTTTTTAAAATTCAAGTTAGATAATTATTTTTATTAACATATTTATTTCAATGTAGTAAATAAAATATAAATAATTAATTTATTCTACTATGAATTTAAGAACAAAATTAAAAATTGATAATGTGACAATTGTGAAGTTTATAGGACAAAGAAATACCTATATATATAATATTTAATTGTTTGGATATAAGTTTATAAAATTTTATTTAACATGTATGTTTTAATTATATATTAAACTTTTATTAGTCACTTAACAAAATTAAATAAGGACTTGTTGTCCGACTAGAGTACTAACCCAGTCCGAACGTGTTTATAGCATAAGCTTTATTGATTCGAACTAAAAAAAAATCCATATTTAATCTGGACATAAAACTTGAGTCACCAGACCCGGCTCATTTTATTAACTATTATATCAAAATTTGCTTAATTTTTAAAGTTAACTTGCATGTAAATTGAATTATTAGGAAACAACATCTTCATATGCAACAACAACCAACCTTGGTGATGACGAGTAAATCAAATCTATTTAAATTTCACCACGTCTCTCCTTCTATTAATTGATGTCTTCCACACAGTAAATTTGAACTTCATTTATGTTTACTCCTATTTTCCTTGGTGTCATTTAATTTTGTAATATATAAAATAAACATTAGTTGCCCTAAAAAAAATTAAACGGCATTTATTTCATAAATTGTAATTATAAATCATACCAATAAAAATCGACACATGTAATGCACGGTCTATTTACTAAAATTGTTGACCTTACAAACTATTTTTTGTGTTTATTTTATGTTATTGGAGTCGTAGATGACAACTACGATTTACCTAAAATTCACTCGTAGCCATGTCTTAGAAAAGTTAAATAAAATATTAAAAAAAAGTCGCCCCGATGTATATACATTTCCAAAAAAAATTGCACCAAGTTGTGTGACAGCCCAATGATGAAATGATTTAATATTAGAAAAAAGAGTTGAAATGATAAAAACATATTATTTGAGGTTCATGAGTTTACTAAAAAAAACATATCTTTGCAAAGTTATGTTTATGATTGACAACTTTCTCCGGTTTTCACTATTTTAAAAATAATATTACTCCAACTTGGATTTGTTAAATTATAGTGAATCCGACTTCATTCACACTTTATATTCTTTTATATAGATTTGCAATATTCTTTTATATAAATTTATAATATGTAATTTTATTAAAAAATTCTTTAAAATGTTAATTGTTGGTTCACTCTCTTCTTATATGGAGTCACACCTTATTCTAATTTAAACCTTATTTTGAAATAAGAAAAATAAACAAATTGCAGGATATATGTAAAGATGACAAATTAATAGAACTCGAAAATAATATAATCTTTTTCCCCTTCAATGTCCCGAAGCATTCATTGTCTTCATCTTAAGGATTGTTTTCGGAAAATGTAAAATTATGCTTTGGCATGCGAAATGCGATAATTTGATTATTCTGGCTGTTACGTAATGAAATAATTTTTAGAGTGGATCGATTCTTATATTAATTTTTTACTCTCATATAAGTTTGCCCCTTATATAAATTCCTCACATTCTTCTCCATTGGAAAGCAAGGTAAGGTAGCCTAAAAAATCCAAATGGCATCAACATCATCATTCCCATTCATTCCTGAAGAAAGTGACGATGTGTTCATAAGCTTTAGAGGCGAGGACACTCGCCATACTTTCACTGCTCATCTTCTTGCCGCATTAGGAAGGCTCAAAATCAGAACCTACGTTGACTACAAACTTGGGAGAGGGGACGAAATATCTCCAACGCTCCTTAGGGCAATCGAGGAGTCCAAGGCTTCGGTGGTCGTTTTGTCCCAAAACTATGCCACCTCCAAGTGGTGTTTGGAAGAGCTCGTGAAGATAATGGAATGCAGAAGAACAAAGGGTCAAATCGTAGTACCTGTCTTCTACCATGTTGATCCATCCGATGTGAGGAATCAGACCGGAACTTATGCAGAAGCTTTTGCAAAACATGAACAACGCTTCAAAGAGAACATGCAGAAGGTGCAAAGTTGGAGAACCAGTTTGAGAGAAGTGGCAAATCTCTCTGGATGGGATTGCTTGGTCAACAGGTAAAACTACAATTAAGAATCAAATACTAATTAATTTATACTTGAGAGATTTGACTTCTATGATTATATATTATTTTAACACCGATAAAAATTAAGTATGAAAATATTTGATCAACTCTCTCAATCTTAAAGGAGATTTTGTAATTATTGGATGAAGAATTTTATTTGTACAATAATATGTCATGGCAATCACAATATGCATTTCTTTTACTTATTTTTATTTTTTTTTAAATTTGTAATTAAGTTCGTAGTTTAAAACAGTCACAAAATAACAATTTATATATGATGATTTGTTTTACTAATTTCATGGACTCAATTACAAAAAAATTGTAAAAATTCAAAATATTGATGGACTTAATTACTAGTGTTTAGTAAACCTTTCATTAAATATATAGCTAGCTAGATATTGGTTGATGAGAAAATATGGCAAGAATTTTCGAGTCACATAAGTTAATTTCATGTGCAGGATTGAATCTGAACTAGTTGAGAAGATAGCGGAGGATATACTGCGGAAATTGAGTAGCGTGCAGGATCCAGAGATAGATAGAGAAATCGAAAGAGCTCAACAATTGGCCCTTTTAAAGGCGCAGAAAATGTCCCATGGGTGTGAACCAGGAGACTTAGAAGAGCTTGCAGCTGCTTATAATTATATTGCCCAGCTTAGCAGCAAGAAACTGGAAAATCTGCTTCTCCGACGCTTCTCTTAAAACTTCCTATATATATAGAAATGCAATATGATTCATTGTTCATGATGTCTCTGAATAAAGATTTAACTATGTTGATGTCTTTCGATACTGTTAATTACCTCACTGGATCCTAGTTATTGGTAAATCATATTTGGATATAAACAATGATATTTAGAATCTGGATCAAGATATATTCAGCAGTCAAATTTCAACTTAATTATGTTATAAAACAAAGCATTTAATTTTAGTTTTTATAAATACCTGGTGTTGGACTCATAATTTCATATTGCGTGCATTCCTTTTTTTTTTCTTCTTCATATTATAAAACAAACCCTAAATCTAATACTTTGCCCTAAATCTAATACTTTGCGTGATAAGGGATTTGTTTTACTATGTCAAAATTAGTTAAATTATATTTTTATTTTTGTTATAATATAAATTTAACCGTTGAATTATATAAAATTTTATTTATTATTAGATAATACATATAAACAAGTCAAAATTAACTAAAAAATTTATGAGATTAGTATTTTTAATGTAAAAATAAAAATGATTAATTTTTAGAGGATGTTTGATATATAGAAAATTTTTGCTTTCCCGGGAATTTGATTAATTTCTCATCTTTAGTTTGTTATTTAAAAAATAATATTCTTAAAAAACATTGTTTCCTGAATGATTTTTGCATAAGTTAATTTTTAACAGAATTATTCTCAAGAGGAGCTAGGAAATTAACTTTTTTGGGTAAAAACATCATGTTACTTTATTTGTTTATTTAATGTAGTAAATATATCTTTAATTCTTATATAACATTTATAAACAATTTTAAAAATATTTATGATCAATCAAATAAATTATCATGATTTTCAAGATTTATGATTTCTATGAATATTCTTAGACTTGAAAAAAATTGTTTCATACACTCTTTTGGATTAAAATAAAAGGAGTGTTAACAACGCACTCTTTAGCAAACTATTTTTAATACATTCATTTTTATTGGTTAAAATTTATTAAAAATTATAAAATTAGGATAGTATCATTAAATAAAATGAGACTTATCAAATTTTGTATTTTATAATGAAATTTTAACCAATTGAAGAGAGTGTTTAAAAAAGTGTTATTAACAATTTTATTTTAACAGTAAACCAGTTAAACTAAAAGACTTACTTAAAACTAGAGCTAGAAAAATGTGCTACTTGGCCCTTTGCAGGTCGGTCCAAATGCAGGCCACATGCTATAACAGGTTGGGCATAAAAGTTTCATATTAATTCGGTCCTGATTCATGATATATACACCTCATTTTTTTTATAACTACACCTCTTTTAAAAAAAATAATTAAAATTTTAAAATATTCTTAATTTTTTGTTTTAAATTTTTTAATTTTACATGTACAATATTTAATTTAGTACTTTTTTTTCACATATCTTTTTTTTTTTTTCAATTTTTACATGCACTTCCTTATTTTTCCTTCACCCCACCTATTTTGGTAACATGTAAAAATTGAAAGAAAAAAAAAGTGTGAATAAAAATAAGAAAGTAGTAAATTAAAAGTTGAAAGTGTAAAATTAAATTCTTTTAAAAAAATTATAATTTTTTATATTTTTTTTTTTAAAAAGGAGATGTACTTATAAAAAAAAGGAGATATATATATCATGAGCATTCGGTCTTCTACATTGGTGCTCCAGCCTAATATTATGTGGGCTATGGATTTTTTTGGACCGGTCAATTTTTTTTTCTTTATCTTTTTAAATTAATTTTTTATTTTTTAAAATTGAAAATTGACAACTATTGTGATAATTATTTTTATTAACATTTTAATTATGAAAAAATATTATATATATAAAACAACCCCTTCTACTATTTTATAAAATCGATTAACCAACTGCATGCCCATAAGAGAAATTGAATAGTTTCATCTCACAAATAACTTCTATATTTCAAAAATTGAGAGTCAACAAGTGGAATATAATACTATAATGGCTATTTAAATACTTATTACATCATAAGCCATCTTTACAAGATCAACACATTTACTTTTCTTTTCAATCAGCTAAAATATTTAAATTACGTGATGAATAAATCCTCAATGTGCTCCTTTGAATTAATATGAAGCAAATTTGATATTTGTTGTGCTCTCAAATTCTTCAAATTATATATAAAGTAATAATAATAATGAAATTAATTGTACAAAAATTATAAAATTAACTTACTTCGTACAAGTTAAATGGTATTAGTGCATTTCCTTTTCCTCCTCCAAATAAATGAACATGAATCTTGTATTTGTTGTGACTAACATTTGAATGGACATCATTTTTAACACATTTCTCACTCTTAAATTCATGGTTTTTTTCTTTAACTTTTCAACAATAAGTAAAATATAAAATATTAAAATTCAAAAAAGTAGCTTGTGGCTCAATTAGACTAGTTCGACCTAAATCTGTTTATAATGCAAGCTTTATGGTCTAGGATAAAAAGGTCTACATTTAAAGTAGACTTAAAATTTATAATTCAATCCCTATAAATTATCGAGTAGGGTGAGGCTAATTTCACAAACTCGATTCATTTTTTTGCCTCTATTTATAACAAAAAAAAAACAAAGAATCCCTATAGTTGTTACATACTATTATTATCACTATGACTATTATTTTTGTCATCATTATTGCACCTACTACTATTATTATCGTTATCATTGTTATTATCGTTATTATCACTACCACTATCGGCACCATGATTACTAACATAACATTGTTGCCACTAATATACCACACCACCATCACTACTATCATTATTATTATATTATTATATTTTCATTTCTATTATAATTTTCATTTCTATATATGTTAATATTTGACAAATATAATATTGCAGTTTTATTTGACAAATATTGTTAGTCAAGTAGCCTCGTGTAACTTAAGAGGGGGGTGAATTAAGTTATCTAATTTTTTTTCTCTTTATAAGTTTTTCTAACTTCTTTCTTATAAAATCAATGTCATAAACAAATTGTATGTAAAGAATCAGTGAGCATATTGTAACATGGGCTTTTTGACCAAAGTGGGGTCCTTTTACAAGTTATTTACGTAAATAGGGCTCTTTTAAAAGTATTTACGCCTTTGGGGCTGTTTACAACGGTGTCGCTATGGGCCATAGCGACACCAGTGACACGTGGCTTTTTTCTTTTTTTGTGTGCGAATGAGCCACAATGGTGTCGCTATAGGCTGCGCTACCACAGTTGATGGCCCAACGAAAATGATGTAGCCCATAACGACACTGTATAAGAAAAAAAAAAGAAAACAAAAATAATAGAAATGTAAAAATAAAAATAATAAACTGACTTGGTTATTATATATTTATAAAACTAAAATTAACTTCTGCACAAATTTAATTATAAATTAAATTATATTAAATTTTTTTAAGTGGCGCTATGGCCTATAGCGACACT